TCAAGTACAATAACGTCATCTTTTTTTTTTTTTTTTTCGAGTAGCGCCTAAAAACACTCCCGTCAGTCCTCGCGCAGTTGCGTTGGCCACAAAACAGACTATTGACTGTCAATTTTTGGCCAACAGCAACAATAACAAAAAAAACGCCGTGGGCGCGTGCGTTGTTTCTCCAACACAAGCCCTCAATCCGTTGATTGTCTTGCCTTCTGATGTTTGGTGGGCTTTTTTGCGCTCTATTCGATGCTGGGCTGGAGTTCCTACAGGAGAAACGACGGTGGTGGAAAGAACTACCGCAATTTAACAAACGTTTTTTTCATTGGAAACTCGCACCATTCTCATCCCACACGATACATGATGGCGCCATTGCGAGACGCGTTGCGGAACTGTCAACACTCACTTCACGGGAAAAAAAAACATATAAATATATAAATATATATATTTCTCACCTTCTTCTTTTATTTATTCATTTTTCTTCTGCCGACGTTGCGTTCAGCAGCGCTTGTAAAAATGACGGGGGGGGGGGAGAAGCTTCGGGGAATGGCCGGCACACGATGTTCACTGAGTAGCAGGAACAGTCCTAAAAAAATTCCGCTGCAGCAGTCAGAGCAACCATAGAAGGCACACATAATCGCATATATATATATGCGTTTGTTTGCCCTATTTCGACCATAAATCGTCATCTCAATCGCGCTTGGCACGCACCCCTCTCCCTCCCCCCACCCCACCCGCCAGACACACACAGAGAAAGACAAACGTGTAAGGCCGCTTACCCGTTCAAGTTGCATTTGTTTCCACCGAGGCTGCAAGAGCCTCACAAATAATCAGACAAAATTTAAAACTACACCAGTTATCCTCAAGGAAAATATTCCCTTCTTTTTCCGTCGTCTAGAATGGAATCCGAAACGGAAAGTTGCTCAGCTCCGACACCCGCACCATTGGCATCTGTAGTCCCCCGTCACAGAGGGCTTCTCCCTTCTTTGCACTCTGCGCTACTGTGGCACTGCGCATCAGCACCGCCTGTCCGACATGTTCCGCGCGATACGGCGGGTGAAGGGCGGCCAACAACGTGACAGCGCGTGTTGTGGGATTGTTTCCAGGCGGCTGTAGCTTAAATGGCAACTCCTCTGCGAAAGCGTCAGCCGCCCCTTTGCTCCGCTTCCAAAGAACAAACCTTCGAGCCGGACGATGTGCTTTGCACGAGAGATAAGTTGTCCCGTCGCCGTTTGTTTCCTCGCGGAGTACAGGCGGTGGCGAAAGAGCTTGCGGCACCCTCTCCAACTCAACCACCTGCTGCTGCTGCTGCTGTGGCTGCTGCTCTTTTTCTTTGTCGAAGTGGAGCAAAAGGAACGTTGTGGCACGCTGGACCAAGGGCATAGGGGCAACACCTTCGTCCACCCAGCGCACACGCTTGACGGTGCGACGTGTCCCCGTAAGACTCGAGGGACATGCTTCACCCTCTGCATCGATGCTGCTAGCGCGTGGCCCTCTGTTCTCGGATGGAGATGATGATAACAATGATGAGGAATCTTTTAACAATTCCGTGGAGTCGTCATTGCGGTCGTCGCCACTCTGCAGTTCCGCAGGGGCGGGGGATTCCTCAGGGAAGAAGTCACCTTCTACGAAGTGTGCCGTGTGTACCTCCTCGTTTGCTGTTAGTTCAGCGAGGCTGGTCGGCACAAGATCTTGGAAGCCGCCCTCATCCAACTCCTCATCCTCATCTTGAGAGAAGCGAGGGGCAATCCCACCTGAATCTGAGCAAACACCAGGTGGACACCGTTGCTCATGCACCATGTATGCCTGCCAACTCGCACAGAGTCCTCACTGTCGTTTGCTGCCGTCTCCGCCGATCCTTCTCCTCCCTTTCCTACTCAACCATTCATTCGTCACAAAGCCAAAACACACACAGAAGTCAAAAAAAAAAAAAAAAAAAAAAAGGAAAGAGAAGAAAGAAAAAGGGAGACAAACTCAACCGCACAAACACACACAACATCCACATTTATTATCACTCTTCTAAAGGTCCACACATACACAAGTATCAGCAACATTCATCCCCTTTGCACGGATTGCAATGCCTTATCACGGTAAGAAAACCACTTCTAGAGGGTACGCGGAAAGACACTCATTGGCACTTTGCAGGAGGCGAACGATGCGCTTACCACTTGCCTCAAATGCCTTCTTGCCGACCGCACGGCAAACGATACTTGAAATGTTAGCCATCAGAAAGTTTGTCCACAAATTTTTCCTGTTCACCACGTCCACATTCTCTTCACAAGGGCTCCAGTCAACACCTGAAATAAAGTTTGCGTGACGCCTCGTTAGTTGTTTTTCAATGCTCCACAAACGCCACAGTAGCGGTTTGTAGAACATGCAAAATGTCTGTCGCCCCCTGGGCTTCGCTAGTGGATTGTTCCCCAGCGAAGCATTTTCCCTCCTGAACGCCAAGCCGTGGTCCAAATGGACAATGGTTGGAAAATCACTCACACTCCTGTTGTTATTGCCTTTACTGCAAATTGCGCTATCCCCTAAACAACCCCATTGTTGACATCCACTAACAACAAAAGAGTTTTTGTTGGGTGAACGGTCACCGTTGCCAAGGATGTAGTCAAACATTACTTGCTCGGACAGAGCAGCGAGAGAAGCATGCGGTACAACTACTTCTTTATAGAGCGGGTTGAACCATCGGTGCCACCCGGGTATTTTTTCCTTGCCGTATGGCACTCGTAGCGGGCTGCTGAGTAGCGGGGTAACGTTTGGGATTTTGATTTGGAAGCTGCACCACGCTTCCAAACCCCCGCGGCGCGTGTACACTTCACTTCCGCTTCCGCGTTCTGCATTTGTTTGGAGGAAAAGAAAGACGTCATTCTGCACCCACTTTTCGTACGTCTTGGTTTCCGCTCCACGAACAAAGAAATTGGGCATGTGTATGTAACGTTGCGATCGCTGATTCAGAGCCACTTGTAAGATTGCCAGTGGAATCGGAAAAAGAAATGTTGGCGGCACCCGTCGCATGCCGAGTTTGCGATCCACCGCAAATGCAGCTACCTCCGCAAAGGGATCTTTGTTAAACTGCCATTGTGGGACCTTCACAATGAAGGCCATTCTCGCGAGACATTTCGGGGGCCATTTCACTTCTAGACAAAAACATAATTTTGACCTAAATTTGATGGTGCGCTGATCGAGATATGGCACAAGAATGTCTAACTGCACCCACACATATAGATTACTGAAATCCACAGATTTGCCTTTTTTCGTATTGAAATTCATGTTTTTGCTGCGGTCCCATGAAAAGTAGCGCTTTGCGGCGCGGGGAAGGGGAATGAATATTTGCCACCCAGCGGGCGGCCCTGTCACATTCGACTCCGGTTGTTTGCGGTGTGATGCAACTGCCGCCGTCAGAAGTAGCTTCGCCAGATGAATACACGCTGCATCATATATGTCGTTAAAAGGAGGAGTGGAAACGAGGTCACAGGCGTGCGTCAGAACAATTTCCTCTTGCGTCTGCTTCCTTGGATTTGCACAGGGACCTGGATCAACAGTGTCGCGAATGACATCGTCATACGACCACCACGAGGATAAGTTGGGGGATTCTTTTCCCCCCAAGAGACCTGCCACACGACGACGGCGCACTTTCTTAGCTAGTGTGTAATTTATTCCTCCCGCCGCAGCCCACTTGTCGCTACACTTCAAAAGCACTTCTTGAAAAAAATGTAGACGCACCGCCTCGTCGGATATTGCCTCCTGCGGCACCATCATGGACGACGACGCCTCCTCCTCATCCTTTTCGGTTGTTTTCTCCGTTTTGGAGTTTATATACGGTGGAGGTCTCTTGGGAAAAAGCCCCTTCTCCACCGCATCGTGCGGCGGCAGCGCAACGTCCATCATTGTGTAGGTGCTGTTCAAGATGAGCAACAGGAGGCAAAAGGAGGCAAATGTCATGATGATTTCGCGCCTCCGCACATTCGGCCTCTGACAAGAACGCATCTTCCCTCCCCGCAGGAGGGAGAAGAAGGGAGTTCAGTCACTTCCTCTAGTTGTCAAAATAAATAAAGAGAGAGAAAGAGAGAGAAAGAGAAAAAAAAGAAAAAAAGAAAAAAAGAAAAAAACGGCTAGAAACACAGACAAGAAAAGATTCCCCCCAACCTCCCTAGCCACCTTCCAGCATTCATGGCTATTAGTTGAATGTGTTGCGGTAAATAATTTAAAAGGGTGTCGCAAGTTACTTTTGTAATAATTGTGTTGCATGTGGTCTGCTTTCCATTTATGAACTCGCCAAGCGAGCAACTTCTCAATTTCAAAACCACCCCATTCCCCCCTCCTCTCCAAAAAAAAAAAAAAAAAAATCTAGGGCCTTTTGTTTTCATTCCCTTGTCTCCCTGTCAACTTCCGCCGCCGCTGCTGCTGTTGCTGTGGAGAGGGAAGTTTCCACCACGACATCTTTTGCCTTCATTTCCCCCTCCTCTTCTACCTCTACACTGTACCCGAGGTGCTCCAATTGTCTGTCAAGCAGCAGAAACACAACGCTAATGCAAATCATAAACAACGCCATGAAACGAAACATCCCACGTGCACCCAAGTACTGATAGAGCGAGCCACCGACAATGTTACCAACGAGTGGTCCCACACCAAACGCGGTAGCACTAAGAAATCCAATGGAGGAGTGAGAAAGTGATTTTGGAAAAGCTCGCCGCACAAAGTGAATGCCAGACAACCACATAAAGCCAAAAGTCAATCCATGCAATGGCTCTAGGCATAGCACAAACCAAGGATTGTACAAGAAAGAGTATCCAGTTACTCGGATTGCCCATGCAAATATTGACATACATAGTAGTTGCCGATCCGTGAAACGCTCATGGACGTGCTTAGAGGACTGAAACAGTGGTATCTCAACAACAACTGTCATAATAACTGATAAACCAAGCAGTATCGTTGGAGCATCAATAGAATAGAGAAAAATAAACAAAAACGTGTTGATAATAGCATACCCCATGCCCATAAAACAAAGAGCAGTAAGAAAAACTAATAACCGCCTGTGTGACACAACGTGACGTAGTACATCAACAAATTTCCTTTGGAAAGGCTCCGTCTCATCATGTGGGACAATGATGAAGCCAATGTACATTGCAGTGGCCATACCCAGACAATATATGACGGCAAGCCCCCACCAATTACTCCGACTGATAAGTGCGGAAATCGTTAGAGCACCAAACGCCCAGCCATATGCCCCGTAGGAACGCATCTTTCCCCATTCTGTTTTTCTATCCGGAGGTAGAATAGACATGGTCCGTTGGTCCATAAATGGTGCCACAGGTACGCGGAAAGCAAAGTGTAGCATCATGAGACCAGCAATAAGAAAATGCGAAGTTGAGGGTATGACAAACAACAAAAGCAACGCAGAAACCGTTGAAGCGCACAGATGAATTGACATTGCACAGTGATATCGGTCTGCCAGATACGACAAGGGGGAAAGCAAAATGATGACGCTAAGTGGCATAAAAGCAATAAGTACCCCAACAGCCAAAGGCGTAAAGCCCCTGTGCTCAAGCAAAAGACCATAGTACGGAGAAGCCGAAAGCCCAGCATATATGGCAAAGTAACCGACCTTGGCTCGGGCGCAGCTAGCCGAGATGGACGCTTCCAATGGATTTTCTTCGGCGGAGGGAGGAGGAGGAGCCAAAGCAGGTTCAACACTGGCAGAATCTTCCACAACATTTCTCACATCTTCTGCATGGGGCGTGTCAGGAATTTCATCCGCATCCACAGGCTTTCCACTTCTGTCTGGCTCCAGCATAATGGACTCACAGTAAATAAATATGTATGCGCCAGTAGGAACCAGTTACTCGAGGGGTGACGATGATGTCTCCTACGGCTATTGGCGTTCCTCTCTTGAACCCCTTTTACCGTGACGTGAGGGCGCACACAGTCAAAAAGAAAATATGCAATGTATATATATATATATAATATGCCTTCACGCACAATAAATGGGATTGTGACTAAAAAAAAAAAAAAAGAAATGACATGGAAACTCACAGCACCAATACATCGGCTGACACCCCCCATCCCACAGAGATATACGCATCAAAAAAAAAAAAAAAAAAAAAAAAAAAACACACAAACACAGGCAACAATAAATGAATAATACAGCGGTTCTCCACTCCTGTAGTCATTTACTTAAAGTGATTCTTCATAAAGTGTCGAAACGCCGCGGAACGCTGGGCGCTGTTGTGCACCGCCTCCCACCTCGCCTTTTTACTATCTTTTGCCCCGTCTGCCGCGGTCACAATATTCTGTTCACGCCACTCACGCCTCCGGAACAAAACATCGTGATTATAAGAAGAGACACCCCCAACAGTAGTACTGTTACCGTTGTTGTTGTTGTTGTTGCCGGCTCTTGTCGCCTGTACGGGAGGAGCGGCAGCGGCGGAACCACCACAAGTTTTTTCATCCTTCGTCCGTTGCTTTTCCTGATGCAGCTGCTCAATACGCCTTCGTTCCCGCTCCAACTCCATCATTTCTTCGTCCTCACTGGACTCCTCTTCACCTTCTGAAACAGAGTCTACGGGATGTGCTCTGTCCGCCTCACCATCGTTTGTCTCCTCGGGCTCGCGGCAATTGTTGTCCGTGGTATTACCGTCAGCATCATCCGTTGCGGGAAATGTTTTCTTGCCAACATCCTTTTCCCTGCCAACCGCTGTGGGGGACGCGGGAGCCACCGCAGGGGTACGGCGACGCTTGATGCCCACTTGTGCGGGCAGACTCTCCTTGTGCACTACTAACCGGCTCATTTCAACGCAGCTGACGTGCCTTTCAAGTATTGCCTCTCTCCCTTCTCCAGGCCTCGCGAAGACACACACACACAAAATATCAAATAAAAAGAACATGCACACATGCACACACACAAAAAGAAAAAAACAACGGGGAGAAAACGATCCACGGTAAGTACACGCAATAAAAGAACAACAGGAGCCGTAAGTGACAGACAGCCAAATATATAAAAGGGGAGATGCGCACAATGAATAGACCAAACGGGATTTATAGCGCAATAAAAACCCAAAGAATATTCTATAACTTACTCTTCCCCAATAGAAGGGCAAGAAAAAAAAAAAAAAAAAAAAGAAATGATGTGTTTTTCTTCGTGTGCTCTTGACTGCCACATATAAATATGTATAAATTCAATGCCCGCTAGTGAGTCCAACAATATGGCACTTCATTATCCGTAAACGTCACGCTGTAAAAATAAAAATAAAAATAAAAGGTGGATTTGCTGAAAGCGTTTCAAGACTCAGGCTTCGCGGTGAACTGCGGGGATCATGCATTTAGGGAGGGGAGGGAAAAAGGCATACAGCTGCCGGGCACTTTCACCAGACAAACACAATGCCACACCATTTCCCTTTTTTTCTTTTCTTTTCACAGGCTTCCAAAACAACAAACAAAGAACCACTCACCCCACACAAATAAAACAAACCTGCAATAAAACCAAAAAAAAAAAAAAACATATTTCTGTAGAGGGTTCATCTGCATCGCTGGTCCCTTTGGGCCAGCAGCTCGCCACTCGCTCAGGAATTTTTTTTTTTCTCTGTTTGTCCATATTTTACTCTGCTCTCCGTTCACGGGGTGGCGGGCCGCCAAAACGAAGTTCCCGTCTCTTAAGAAGCTCCTCTAGTGAGTCCTCATTTAGCCTCGCGTCCGCCATTCCCGGCACAAACGCCTCGAGAAGCGTCGTGTACAAGCGCATAGTCATATGAAAGGCATCAAAAAGGGCAAGCACTATTTCAAATAGAACCCTCCGGTATAAAGAGAGGGCATATTCACGCAGCCGCCCTCCCAGAGAGGCGTTGCGCTTCGAGTGAAGAATTAACGCCGCCGCCGCCTGCTCCCGCCGTTGGCGATCAGCATCAACGTCGAATACCGACTTTGATGGGGCTGCAGCAACTTTTTTCTTCGTTGCTGTGGCGTCGACAGTACGATCAACCTGTTCAAGGTAGTACTGGGCGCTCTCATAGCTGTTAATGGGCCCGAGCCCCGCTACAGCTCGACGTACAAACATATTTATACGGTTAATTGGGGCACCGTAGAGGCGGTTCAGCCCGCGAAGGATGTCAATACTGCGCCCCACCAGTGGGAGTTCGGGTGGTATCAATTCTTGGTTCGCCAGCAGCGTCTGGGCACGCTCACGAGCCTTCACCTGCATCTGGAACAATTCCATCTTCGTTACTTCTCCATGGTTGCCACGTCGCAGTGATTCGTATGGCTTCTGCATTTGGATCGAGGCAAACACATCGGCATCGGCGATGCCCCACGTTGTGATAATTTTCATTATGGTTTCCGTGTCCCGCAATACAATGGACTTGAAGATCAGGGCGTACTCCACACGGAACCTCTCCGTCTCCGGGCAGCACAAACCAAAGTCCAACAACACAACCTGCGGGTTCTTGCATTTTTTCACCTGTCGCTGACTTCCATCACGCTGCTCGCTAAGCGGCGGACGGCGTACCAAAACATTGGCCGCATGCGGGTCACAGTGCACAAAGCTGTATTTAAATAACATGTCCCCAAATACGTCAAACACAGTTCGGAGAACGGTGACGGCATCAAACTGCTGGCGGACGGTTTCCACATCGATAAGTTTTACGGCATCGATCCATTCCAAAACCAACAAGCGCGAGGTGACAAGTTCCTTGTGCAACTTCGGGACATACACATTTGGGTTACCAGCGAGATGACACCGCATTTGCTCCACGTTGTTTGCTTCAGCAGAGAAGTCGGTTTCACGACGGATACCATCAATAATACTCTTCTTTGCCCAACCCACCGGCATGTTGAAGAGAACTCCAATCATCCAGGTGACAAATCGGTAGGTCTCAAGGTCCCAAAAGACCTGGTAGCGAATTTTCGGCTTTTGTACCTTGACAGCAACTTCCATTGATTCATCTTGCGGGGTCGCGGGTCGCAACTTGGCTCGGTGCACTTGTGCTATCGACGCAGAGGCAACAGGAACGGGATCAAAGTAAGAAAACAACTCCTCCACTTTTTTTCCGGTTTCCTCCTTAATGATTCGACTAATTTCGTCAAAAGGCACAGATGGGGCTTGATCCAGAAGCACCTTTAAGACATCCATGTACTCACGTGGGAGAATATGATTCAGTGCGTTAAATCCCTGTCCAATTTTAATGTAAAGACCCTCATTCTTCAAACAGACGTCTAAAATCATTTGGGCTGCCGTACGATGCAGATTGGAATACTCTTCGGAAGTCTTAGGGGTTGTTGTCTTGTACAAGTAAGAGATTTGCACTGTCGCCTTTATCGTCCGCAGAGAACGAGTAAAGGAGTTGGCTGTCCAGTAGTCGGCACAAACGTAGCTGGCAGCCATCACACCAGTCCCAAAGAGAAATCGACGCCCCCACTTGCCTGCGCGTGAAGGCTTGGCGGGTGCAGACCGGCGCAGCAGATGATACATCGTCCCAAACAAATGGCTTGCGTACCAAGATGCATGCATTTATTTATAAAAGAAGAAAAAGAGGAACACACACACACAGAGAGAGAGAGAAAAAAAAAAAAATAAGGGAACACATCTCCAGTGACACAATTTCTATACGAAACAGTGATAACAACACATGAGAGAACAACAACGACGACCAGAGATTGTTAATAATAATAAAAATAATAATGGAAAAAAAAAAAAAGAAACAAAACAGCTGCCACACGCCAATAAAGATTGGAGGCGAGAAGGAAAAAAAAAACCACTAGGCTTCTCCATCATGGTGAATTCGTTGTACATCGTCCTCCTCCCGCACGATCGGTGCCGGAGGAGAGATAATGGGCAGCGCGCACAGTCGTGGACTTAGTAAAGAAACTGGAATGCAGTTCCCCACCCCCCATTTGGTCCTCTCCCTCCCCTCAACCAATCACTTTGTTTTTTTACTGGTGAAACCTATCGGCTCCATTCACGGCATCAACCATGACCAGGCCAGTTCCCGCACACAACGCCTCCGCGCTCCTTAAACGGCTCCCCTGAGGGTACAGTGACTCGCACATCGCTACCGTGCCGATTGCCATGACGCGCGGCAGCCGTCTTGCGTCAAGCAGCTCCCCCTCCCTCCCCGGTCTTCAGAGACTCCATTAAAGAGAAAATTAGCCCTGCCGGGGATTAATGTCGCACGACAGTCACATGACTTCAAGTGTGAAGCCATGAAGAAGGCCGAATTTCGGGTGCGACCCCCACAAATTATGCACCAAGTGATAGCCCCCCCCCCCCCCCATAAACACACCGCTCGCGCTTTCATCACCGGCGTGATAAGTTGCATCTCTGAGAGACGTTCGTAAAGCCGCCTTGCTTTACGGAATAAAAAAATTTCAATCATGATAATGAACAACAACAAAGAACCTGACATTCTTTACAAAATGGGAGGAAGAAAAAGGCACCCATCCCTGAAATAAATGTAAAAAGACACTTCCTAATCAGTAATTATCCCGTTTACACACATCGTATAACCCCCATCCTAAACTCAATTGACTGCATACGACAGAAGACGGGCAGAAATGCCTGTAATTATCGCATCTCCAGAGGAGGTACCTTTTCCCGTACGGCTTGCTACGGCAAATGCAGTAAAGGGCCAAAACAACAACACCAACAAGCCAATCGCCAACTGCGCAGTGCTCACGACCTATCCAAAGTAATTAAGAAGGGGAGTAATGACTGGTACTCCAATGCCCCCATCCATATGCACCGTAGGAACGCAACGCACTGCACACTTCGCACCGGTCCTTAAAGGACTCTGGTGGAACCGAGTCAAAAACAAAAGGCAATGCAGGGTGAAGTACATTGCGACGATCCATGAAAGCCTTTTCCGCGCTGGTCACAAATGATACTTGGATGACATCGGTACAAATCCACCTCCATACAATAAAAAGGTGAAGAAATGATAAGATAACAAGTAAACAACATGAACAAAAGAAACCCAAATATACATCTAAACCAAATCTCCTTTCCCACAAGAAACACCCTCCGAAATGACTCGGTTGTCGCACAAAAAAAGTAAATAACCAGTTATTTCCACCTCTACGACAGTGACTGACAAATACTGCAAAGGTGAAAAAAAAGGGAAATAGGATCATTGGGCGACCCATCCACCATCCACGGTGATTGTGGTGCCGCGAATCAGGTCTGCCCCTGGACTTGCGAGAAACACCGCAGCGTCTCCAACCTGCTCGACAGTCACAAATGCTTTTGCTGGTTGTTTTTCACAGAGAAATGCCTGAGTTGCGGCCTCCATGTCACCGCCGTATTTTGCTTCAGCAACCGCTTTGATTTGTTCCTCCACCAAGGGTGTATAGACGTACCCGGGACATATCGCGTTGCAAGTAATTCCTGTCGTGGCAGTTTCCAGGGCCACAACTTTGGTGAATCCAATGAGACCGTGCTTGGCAGCACAGTAAGCAGATTTATTCACCGAACCCACCAACCCTTGAACCGAGGCAATGTTAATAATGCGGCCCCACCCGCGCTGACGCATGCCCGGCAGACACAGCTGCGTCGCATGAAAAGCGGATGTGAGATTCAGAGCGATGATTTCGTCCCACTTGTCGGAAGGAAATGTTTCCACTGGGGAGACGTGCTGAATACCGGCGTTATTGACCAGAATTTCCACGGCGCCCAGCTCCTTCTCCGTAAACTTTATCAGCGCTTCGACCTGTGCACGATCTTTCAAGTCGGCAGCAAAGCAGCGAACGCGCGTGCCGTAGGCGGCCACTTTTTCGACAATCGCCGAATCCTCTGGACTCTGGCGCCTGCCATTAAGAACAACATCCGCTCCAGCCATCGCCAGCCGCATCGCAATGCCGAGACCGATACCCTTTCTTGACCCCGTGACAACTGCCACCCTCCCTGACAAAACCCTTTTTTGTCCTGACATTGCCTTCGCTTAAAGGAATTTCCCCCTGAAATAAATAAATAAATAAATAAATAAAATAAAATAGACCGCCACCAGCCGCCAAAGAGGCCCAAAAAACAGCAACAACAACAAAAACAAATAAGAACAACTTGTTTCATAATCTACCCAAAGGTATGGACTTCACAAGGAGGTTAAGAAAAAAAAAAAACATATATATATATATATATAGAGAGAGAGAGATACCTGAAGATATCTTCTTAGTTATTTTTCAGTCAGCAACCCCTCTCGCCGGCGCCGCTTACACCTTCCCTCGACTCAATGACACGAATAACTTTCTCTGGATCAACACCACGACGCAGCAGCTCTCGCACTAACTTCATGGACCGTTGGACAGGCTCCATTACGGTGGGCTGGTTTCGCTGTAGCGGTGAGCCCACCAAATACGCGATAGATGCCAAGCACTCCAACTGACACTGCTCGTTTGACCCGACCAACAACGGCTTCCGCTGAGGCCGGGCCGCCACAATATCGCTGTTACCCTCCCTATTGGCAGCGGATGTCGCTTGGCCAGCGTTGAAGGCTGCACTGACATTCCCTGGCCGAGCCGTCTCACCGTATCGCGGACCACCTCCATGAGTCTCATCCCCGGCCCAGCTAGATACGGAATTGCCACCCAGCAAACTCATCTTTTTATCCTCCTGCCAAAACAAACCCTCAAAAGAAACAACAACAACAACAACAACAAAAAAAGGGATAAAGAGATTGCGTAAAGAAACGGCCAGCTTCCCATCACACACACAGAAAAAAGGAAAAACAGACCAATGGGGAAGTTATACCCACAAACATGAATCCCCGGCGGCCAGGTGGAGACAAACGCAGCGCCATGAAGCGGTTCCAGAAACAACACCGTCCACGGTTACTGCTGAGAGGCATACCCGGAAACACGCATGGCTCAGATAGACACACACAAAAAAAAAATAATGATCCGACGACCCGCAGACCATTGGTGTAGATTCGTTAGACGCCAAAAAATATGAGACTCCCCGTACTCACCGCCACTGTTGAGGGTAAGGCCAAACAACAATTTGGACACACAGAGAATATTTGGAAGTTTAGATAGAAAAGTACTCGTGAGTGCGTGTGTGCATCACATTTTCATCACGCAATATGCAAGAAGAAGAAAAAAAAAAAAAGGGTCTTACCGAAGCAAGGACAGGATGACCAACGGTTCATGAAGCCAAGTCAAGGCAAATGTTAGTGCTTTATACGGTTTATTAGCCTGCATCCCAGTACATTAACGCAAAGTTCCCAACCACATACTGCAAAAAGACAATACTCCAACCTCTACACAACCCAACCATTAAAGCAGCAAGAGGGCCACGTACGCCCCATTCACAGTCAAGCCAAATCGTGGAGTTACCCCACATGCGACTGCCTGCGCCCCGCTTATCGCCCCCCCCCCTCCCCCCGAGAGTCTTAACTTTTCCCTCGTGACTGTTGACTCGCCAGATCCGCCTCACTCATTCCCCCTTCCCAACTACGCCCATACCATAAATATAAATAAAAAAAAAAAGAAAAAAAAAAAAAAAAGAAAAAAGAAAGGAAGAAGACACGGAAGAACTCTTCAACAGAAAAAAAAAAATGCAAAATGTGAAGCATAGGCGGGGAGGAGCACAAGTCAATAGCCGCAAAAAAACAAAAAAAAAAAAACAAATCGACAACAAAAACAGCAACAAAAACTAATAATAATAATAATAATAGGGATCAACGTTAGCCTTTCACAAAAGGGACATCGCCACATCCAATTAAAAAACAACAACAAATAACAACCAGAGCCATCAGACAGACAGACAGACAGAAAGACAGACAGATACACGGATACAAGGAAATAAATAGTTATTTGATTAAAACTAAGGCTAGGCGACCAAGCATGACTAAAACAAAACAAAACAAAAAAAAAAAAAAAAAGGAAAAAGGACAGATTAAACCTTAAAAAAAAAAAAGGAAAAGGAAACAACTGCAATGGAAATCCTATCCATTCTACACGCTCCACTTCTAACGCTTTTGTATATTTCTACTCGTCGTTTTTTTTCTTATCTTCGTCACGCATAACAGATTTGGTACTGTCTACGCTGTGGGACACATTGGGCCCGTCCTCTTCCTTTTCCCGCCAAACCGTAGATCCAGCCGAGTTACTGCGGGTGTAATGGGCGCGGCCATACACCCTTGTTGAGGGAAGTCGACGCAGATATATTCGATCGGACTCGTCAGGGCCATTTGGCGACACCTCGCGGATAATATGTCCCCCTTTCTGAGGCCGGCTTAAAGGATTGTCGCCAGCTGAGGACTTCTTTCCAGACTGCGGAGAGTTTCGACGATTTGGCCGTTCATTGCGGCCTGCACCCGTCTCCCCAATACTTACTTCATTTCTTCCCAACACGCCTGAATTATCTCTGCTATCGTCTTTGTTGCTCAATGTTGTCACCACCTCAAAGAACTCTGACTGGCCGCAAAGAATATCGTTCTGCGCGTCGATTAATGCATTGCCTTCTACACAGTGTTGGCGAATGTACTGCTGTGGCAGCTCGACGGGAATCGCCTCGGGATAGAAAGGCTCCATTCTTGTCCTTCGTACCCGTTCTAATCTCATTTTTCTCCGGAGAGATGAGAAGATAAAATATGTAACCACCACAAGAAATAGGACAACAACTGTCACAATAGAAAATACAAATGTACTTAGCATCGCAATAGGTCTCCTTCTGGCGAGAACAAAGCCGGTTATGTCTATATAAATAAATAAATAAATAAATAAATAAATAAATAAATATATGTATATTTGTATGTATTTATATATAATACACAATTACAGTAATCTTTTTTCCCTTTCTCCTTCCTACTTAAATGTCTAATTCAGTTCTATGCACCGACGCTGCTGCCATCATTTGAAAAGGAAGAGTGCGTGTGTGGAGAATACATATACACACACACACACACAAAGAAAAAAAGAAAAAAAAGGAAAAAAGTAAATTATGTGAGGAGGACCATCAGATGCGCCATCAAAGCCAAATTACAATCAACACAGTTGTGTTATTTTTTTACTGGGTTACTGATGTTGTTGTTTATATCAGCGACTGAGTGACACATGTCATTCCTTGTTCCAACTCGCCCAGCTACTGAAGGACACAAGCCGTAATGTCTCCCCCTCCCCCATCCTTTTGTGGTGCGATCCCCAACTCACTGTAGTAGAGGCAGCAGGCAAATAGAAAAACAACAACAACAACAACAACAACAAGGCACTGCCGCCCAAAAAGAAAATTTTCACCGTTCCTGTCGGCGCTGCGCATTGTTATTACAGAGACGGGATATTTGCCACATGAAAATGAATTTACCCACTTAAATGCCTCTTTTCCTTCTCACTTCTGCTAGCACGCACAAAGAAACACACGGCCCAATGTCATCTACTCATCACCGTCGCCTCCCGCAAGGTGAGTTCCTTCATCAAGTCCTCCGCATTCGTTGCACGGATCTCCTTTCCCACTTGCTTCAACCCACTAAAGGTCTGAATGGTGGGTGTGCCGGTAACAAGCTGATACTCCACAAGTGACCGTGTGTCGATGTCTTTTGTGTCCACGCTATACCACACGATGCGGCGCTTTTCGGCCTTACACTGCTCTGACGCCTGCTTGTACATCTCCGCAAACGACAAGCATGGAATACAAGCATGTTTCCAGAATTTAATTACCATGAGGTCATCCTTGTGTTCCCGCAGCTTTTGCAAGAACTCGTCCTCACTTTTAATTACCGGCAGCTTTGTTGCCTCAAGAAACCCGCTTTCCTCAAACTCTTGAATCCACTTGGGGAAGTTCTCCTGCATGAAACGCTCATAGTCGTTACCGCTAAGGTTCTCAGGCAGCTTGCGGTCACCAAAGATACGTCGGATGATGTTGTGCGACATCTGGGGAATAAAGAAAAAAAAAAAAATAACAAATAAAAACGTGGCAAATATAACAATTGAAAAGAGAAAAAAACAACAAAAACAAAAAAAGAAAAAACAACGGATAGTGGCGGAGCCCATGTGATAACAGCGCAAAGAAACAAACAGGATCAAATGCATAATAAAACAAAAAAAAAAAAAGCCCTCCACGGAAGAGAGAAAAAAAAGATAAATAAACAATTGCACGATGCCGCACTGACGGTCAATAAAATAACTGGCAAGGAAAGGAAACAAAAAAGGAAAATGTCATGGCGTCCGGTACAAGAAGGGGAAGGGGGAAGGGTCTTAACGACGCAAGGCTGGTCGCAAGCTCGGCAAAACTGCAAGAAAGAATTTATCGAGCAAAATAGCCCATCGCCCTTCCCCTTCCTCTTTTGACATTCCTTTTCACTCTGCCAGACCCTTTGGCCAGTGGCCGTAGTACCGCACGTGTCGAATCTTCCACCAAAGTTCGCTGTGAAAATGGGGGTCTGTGAAGTCAGTCTCACGTATTTCAGCTCGCGAGGAGGACAGACGCGACTGTCCAGGTGACATCATCGTTACCGTCATATCAAGACCCTCGTGCTCTGGGTGACGATCTGAAAAGCGTTTGAGCCTTAGCCACGGGTCCTGCAAAACCTGCTCTTCATCCGTCTTGCCGTAGACATTGACGTCCCAGAAGGGCTTGTTGTTCTTGATGCTATGAAAGCCGCGAATTGTCAGCCACAAGACAAATAGAAACGGCATTCCATAAGCACCAATGGAATGATTTAAAAATTTCTCAGGGCTTTCCTTCCAATGCGCAAATAGACGCCGATGCCATTGACGCCGGTCTTTGCGTGTAAACTTCTTCTTCGCCTCCACGCGATTGATGTAATATACAGCGTCATGAAAGCTTGGCGGATCGTTGGACGCCGTAGGCATCAAATCAGCGGGGATGACAACACCGCCATACTCGTCTATTTCATTCAGGGTGTAGGTTTCAAAATTGGTGACATTTTTCAGGTGATCCAGTCCTGGTGCACGCCAGCGAATGACTTCACCGCCCTCAAGAACGCGTTGCAAATAAAATTTGTTGTCACGCGTGCGGATCAGTGATAGATCCGTCTCCGTACTGTTACGTAAGGGACGACCGTACTTGTCAATATACACTAGTGTCGTAACGGCAGGACGCGGTGCAATCACCGTACGGATGCCGCGAGACTGCAGCAAAGAGACGCCAAAGACCGAAGTTGTTGCCGTATTGTGCGACAACCGCAAAGTAAGGCGTCGAGAGGTAACACTTTCACGACGCATACGAGATGCCATCAGCATTATCATCTAGCGGAAAAGAACGGCTGCAGTGCGTATAACTAGTGATGACTGTAAGGGGGGAGGGGCAGAAACACCAGGGGTATGTTTGTGTGGGGTGTCTTCTGCCACGAGAGACCAATCGACCTTGAGGGAGGGGGGAGAAAAACATAGAACAACAAAAGTAGGAGAAATAAAAGAAGCAAAAACACAGGGCATGACAGTAACAAATGCAAAAATAAATAAATAAATAAATAATTCCTTTTTTTTTTTTTCTTCCAATCCATTTATTCAATAAAATTCAAATACAAGCCGCCGAGTTGCCATTTGCTCTACAGAATGTTCGGAGCATATCTAAGAGGATCGGGCAATTCCCCTCCCAAAAACAACAAAAAGATCTAAAAAACTCATTACACAAAATATTCGGTGCCCATTAAATTCATTTAGTCGCTGTTTCTATTTTGAAACCCCCACCGTCCACTGGTGGTGCTCTCGTGCGGGGAACAATGGGTTGTACAGGACGTTGACCCCTCGCCGATCGGGAGAGGGCTCGATTTGAGGGTGAGAGCGGTGGCCCAGGCTGCCTCCGCGTCCCACGTTGAGAGGACGGTAATTCAAGTGGTTTCTGTTGGGGTGCTTCCTTTGGACCAGTTGGCTCTCCGCAGGCGATTGTTCCCTTTGCAGCGCCAATTTGTTTCCGCTGCCGCAATGTGCCATCAAGAGCACTGACAGCGGCTGGAATGTTCTCCTTGCACAAAGATGGCCCTTCTCCCAGTGAGCATGAGGGGCCAACTTGCAAATTGGTTCCAAGGGGCGCCAAAATCTTCTTCGCACCGCGTATCTGCTCTCGATTCGGCGACGGCGAGCAAGATGAGGCTAAAAATGAACACTGTGCAGCTGGTCGGCAACGCTCGTCATCGCTTTGATTGATCTCCTCGTCATGCCGGGCATGGTACACCTCCGATCCAGTGTCTGCAGAGGGTATATTTCCTTTCATGTGAGTGGAGTTCCACACTTCCAGCGTCGTTTCCAAGGATGATCGCGTCATGCTCCCTCTCGAGCCTCTGAATAACGCGTTACCGCCAGTTTCTTCTAACCGATTTTCGTTGCCTCGAGTGAGCCGTTGGTGAAGCTTCATAACTTCAATCGGAACGTTCCTGCCTCTCGCTGACCCAATACAACCTGGACGAGAAACGGCGGGAACCATCATAGACGAATGTTTCGGGCGTGGTGGGGGTGAGGATTGGTGTGGGTGCTCGTCGTTCGGAATGCCGTTTTTAACGTCCATGCGCTCGCATCGCGGTTTCAGTCGGTGAGCCGCCTTGCCAGCCCCTACCGTGGCCGATGATGGTCCCCCAACACTGCCCGCAAATTGCTCAAGCCGTCCAAGAGCTTCATTATTCCGCATTCTGCGACGCTCCAACGGGGACACAAAAGTCGGCTGCATCACTTCTGCAGCCACTTCGACACCACTCACAGGTGCCTTATCGTGCAGACTCGTCTTAATTCTAGCAGATGTAAAAAAGCTTCCTGAAGCGGAGCTGCGCCGTGGCGCTGGATCTCTGGCATGCTCCTCCAAAGCGAAACGCATGACGGTTGTTGCGGGTCGTTCTTTGTCGATGCAGGGGCGTCTCTCAACTTGAGACAAATAAGATGCAAAACCATCAACCTTCGAAGCTACATGGGAGCCCTGCACTGTCAGCAACCGCGCCAAGGGATGTAGTGCCTCTTGGCACTCCCGCAATATGTGGTCCTCGATACGCAAGTGGAGGGAGTTGCTGAGGCGCAGTAACAACACTGCAATGAAAATGTTCCAACCGATGGTTTTGTGCCCTAAAGATGGCCGCATGATGTGATAATCGTAATCCGTTGATATCGCCACGTCGAGTTCCCCCAATTCCACTTCCTTCTTTCCAGCGTCCTCGGTGACACCACCGGCACAGTCCCGGAGCCATTCTTCCGCAGAAATCATCTCTTCCCACACTTCTTCTCTAAAGCGTTCAGAATCCATGCGTTTGAGGCATTCACGCTGCGTGATCTCATCCTCTGCCAAAAAAAAGCGACTCATAACGTCGGTAGTTGCAACCAACGAAATGACGGCGCGGTAACCACTCTCGCTGAGCCGCCGCGCCGGTGGGCCGCCGTTTCCACCTCCGCTTGGGATGTAGGAGTACGACTGAAAGAGTGACCAGAGATACTGCTTAAAAGCATTAATATCATTGGAAGTCATGTATTCGCTTCCACGTGAGTTCAAAATTTTCTTCTCTACAGCTCTAATTCTTCCTGTGCCCCTTCAACCAAATTTTCAAAAGATTCTCGTGTACCGCCTCACCACACAGGGTAGATACGCACACAGAATAATAATGATAATAATAATAATAAAAATAAAGTCCTGCAAAAAGATGTAGCGGCAATAAAAAAAGAAAAAAAAAAAGAAAAAAAAAAAAAAAAAAAAAGAATGGAAGCACATTGATCACCGGGAGCCTCTCAAAACAACAACAAAAAGGAAAATGATCCATCCCCAACCCATTAAGACATAAAATTGCTCTGGGTAATGTTGGTTTCTTCTTTGATCCCTACGAACGGTGCAAATTTAACACATTACATACCTTCGTTGCAGGAGAAAATAATGTGCAATAAGCATAACATATTCCTGTTGCTTTAATTAGCGCAGTCGGCCCCTTGAAGAAAAACAACAACAACAACAAAGAGGTTCTCCAAGAGCACAAAAAATATGTATATATTTATTTATTTATTGAAAAGACAGAAAAAAGAAGAAAAAGAAAAAAAAAAAAAAAAGGCCTCTGCTGCCTTTTTCTCCAATTTCTTCAGGGTATTTGATGTGTCTGCCACCTCGTCCCGCGGCTTTTGTTCCTCGACAGCATACCACCGACGTTTGCTTTGAGAAACTTCAAAGGTAGCACCGCCGCCCGCATTGAGACGCCAAGTTTGTCCATCTCTGACCACTGCACCGGGATGGGGTTTAGCCCCGCGGCGGCGATGCTGTCCATGGACCGCTCGTACCCTTTTTGCACCAACACGTCTGTCGTGAAATCAACACCGTAAAAAGACAGAAAATGACATCCAGGCTCGAGGTACACAACATTCATCTCGACTTGAGGTTGCTTCTGCTGGTACTGATCCACTGCCAATAGGCCATGCTCATCTTTCCAGGTTAAGAGAACGTTGTTTCCGGCAAAACCAAAGTAGTCACCAAGCGGTGGTGCGTCTCCTTCTTGCTCCAGTGTAAAGACATCGAAGGAGAACTGGTCCTCCTTAACCTCAAACAACTGCCTCAGCGTTGAGTGAGCCACTGCATTTGTGCGAGGGCCATGCCCAACTGCAATGCCGGTTGGCAAGCATACAATATCACCGCTGTGACAACGACAGCTTTCCGTATCCTGCAGGTACGAAGCAAGTGTAGATGGGCCACCGGCACCCCGCACATATCGCATCGACTCCATAAACTCTGTTGCGCGATGCTCCATGCCTGTTAGAGGCATTCCTAAAAAAGTAGCACCAATAGAGGCCATTTGATCTGCTACACGTAACGCCTCCACGGAGGGTCTCTCGGACATCAAATGAACCTTATCAACTAAGGATGAGTGCTGCAGGGTCTTGTAGAAATCCCGGAATTGATGGATAAGCATGTCGCGATTGATGACAATCCCATTGGGTCCGGCACTAGGAACTGATCGATAATGGGGCGAACGAACAAAGGCATGCAATGCCTTGTTCCCAGAAGTGCGTCGCAGCATGATGGATTTTATCCCCTCTCTAATAGAAACAAAGCCTTACTGCTTCTTCCCCTCCCTTTTTCCTTCACTCTTTCCCTTTTTTTATGTTGTTCTGTTCCTTATACCGTAAACCGCCGCCCTTCTCTTGTTGTTGGACTTTGATTAATTCCACTCTCAACTTTGCTCTCCAGTAACGGGTAGCCAAACTGCAGATGAATGGCCACAGTACAGGCTTCGGTCGCGGGGGAGTTAACACGGACGACACAATTGACAGGAAAAGTGCAGAAAGAAGAAAATAATAATAATAATAATAAACCAGTAAAAAGCCAAATAGAACACATTGTATATATATTCTTCTCATTCTCAGGGCCACTAACCGGGAATTCATTCTTCTTCACAAGAAGAACGAAAAATTCATGTGTTCTTCATTTACTCTTTCGGAGGTGGGTTTCCGCAGTACCGCCTCGCAATGTAACGATGTACATCTACATACTTCCAGTATGTCCCACGCCACGATTCCGATGCGATGTTCTCGGACGAAGGTGCAGGCTGCCACAAATACCTATTCTTCGGAGGATACATGGACGGACTTGCGCGGTGTTCATCGCTGTGTCGCACCCTAAGTGAGCTTACTGCCTCAGACACTGCACCGCAAGAGGGCTTTGCAGAGATGTGTTGTATTTGTTTGTTATACCACACAACAGGTGGCACAACGGGGATGCATGTGGGCAAAACTTCGAGAGTCGGCGCTGAGGTCGCAACGACTGGAACCGCCAGAGGTTGTGTGAATTGTGACTTCAAAACTGGCGCCGCAGTTGTTTTTGTTGCCAGCGTAGGGCCTTGCGTTTGTTGTGCAACAAAAGCTGCTGCGGGCAAAGATACCGAAGACTCTTTTTGCGGTATTGGAACAGAGGCTGGCAATTGAGACGGATAGCTACTACCTGCCGTAACACGCGTGGTTCCCGTCGGAACCGGAAATTTTTCCGCAGGTGGCGATTGTGTTGGTGGTGGAACCGCCGCAGTCAACATCTTGAATGCCCTATTTTTTTTCTAAGAGGTTCCCGTACCGCAAACCCGAACACCCTTCTCGTCAACCCCAAGTAAAAAACAAAAACAAAAACAAGAAGTCATGCTTGAAGAGCAATCAAGCTTATGTGACTCCTAATCGTACGCATCAAAAGACAATCAGAAATCAAAACAATAAAAGAAGTGGTATTGCAAGTTGAAATTCAAAATTTTTTTTTCTCTATAAGTAAATTCGTGACAAATTCTATGGCGATGTTGGGCTCATCTCCCCGGGACACCTTTTCTCGCTCAGCGGAACCAGCCGGATTTTGGGTAGTCTTTTTCCCCGTCTCCTTCGCTTTTCAAGGTCTGGTGCACGAAGACTTGGCTCCCCGCCGTAGAAGCGCCGCTGAATATAGTGGCCCACATTCTTATTGGTCCACTCTACACCCTTCCAAGATCTAGCACCCTCGACAGCACCAGCCCGAGCCAACGCCTCAAGAAGGTCATCTTTATGCTCTGGCGGGGAAGTGGAAAATTGAACAGCTTGAATACCAGAAGTAGAAACAGAGCTAGCCGGGGCCACACCCGTGCCTCCCAACGGCTGTGTTGTGGCTGCGAATGGCTGTGTCGCTGCCGTGGTCACACCCGTGCCTCCCAACGGCTGTGTTGTGGCCGAGAATGGCTGTGTCGCTGCCGTGGTCACACCTGTGCCTCCCAACGGCTGTGTTGTGGCTGCGAATGGCTGTGTCGCTGCCGTGGTCACACCTGTGCCTCCCAACGGCTGTGTTGTGGCCGAGAATGGCTGTGTCGCCGCCGTGGTCACACCTGTGCCTCCCAACGGCTGTGTTGTGGCTGCGAATGGCTGTGTCGCTGCCGTGGTCACACCCGTGCCTCCCAACGGCTGTGTTGTGGCCGAGAATGGCTGTGTCGCTGCCGTGGTCACACCTGTGCCTCCCAACGGCTGTGTTGTGGCTGCGAATGGCTGTGTCGCTGCCGTGGTCACACCTGTGCCTCCCAACGGCTGTGTTGTGGCCGAGAATGGCTGTGTCGCCGCCGTGGTCACACCCGTGCCTCCCAACGGCTGTGTTGTGGCCGAGAATGGCTGTGTCGCTGCCGTGGTCACACCTGTGCCTCCCAACGGCTGTGTTGTGGCTGCGAATGGCTGTGTCGCCGCCGTGGTCACACCCGTGCTTCCCATTGGCTGTGCTTGTTTCCCGAGGCCCGCAGAAAACGACGGGGCTTTGACGCCGTAAGTGGGGGCAGGAGATGAAGAAGAAAATGCATTTGTGGCCAATCTATTCGGGGCTGCATCTACTCCAACACCTGAGACACCTTCTCGTAAAACCGGTAGCAAGCGGACTACCCCAGGGGCAAATGAACCCCACGGCGGCAAAGTAGCAGCCGAGACTTTTGTGCCTGTTGTTACCGGAGGTGAGAGCTGAACTGTATTCGCACCGGGTACCCCGGGGGCCACGTTGCTTTTCGTCCCTGAGAGGGACTGGAGTGCTGGAAAATCCAACACGCCTAGTTCTGCCCGAGCCACACGAAGAAGCTCCAACACAGTACGCGTCTCATTATCAATATCTTTCAGCCTTTCCTTGGACATTTGCAGTTCATTCTCGACGGATTCCAGCCGCTCCTTGGCAAGCTGATATTCCTCCATGGTACTCGCCTCGCGCTTCTGCATGTGGTTCGGAGTAAGTGACGCGTTGGCATAATTCAAAAGATCTAACATACGCGTACTTTGCTTCTCTGACACAATCAACTTATCACGTAAGAACTTATTCTGCCTCAACACGCTCTCGCGAAACTCGCGGTAAGGGGTCGAACCTGTAAGGTACCAAAAGCCCTCCGCGAACTTCTCCTGGTCGTCGGTCATTGGGACATACTCGTCCTGGTACCAGCAGCGTATCCTGTTGTCAGTGCCACACGACCAGATACAGAATCGACGCAGCTCGGCTGGTCCGACAAGGGCAGTGATGCGAGCGCCCCGGTGATCCTCGATCCGCTGTACCAGCTGACAGTCCTCCGCGTCAAACACGGCAATGATGCCATCGGCCCCACCGGAGTATACACGGGAGCCGATCTTTCGCAGGGAGGCAACGCGACCACCGTGCGCGTGCAGCACGCGCAATGCCTCACACGTGTTCAGCTTCCAGGCAATAACTCGCCCGTCATTGTCACCCGACCACATCGTCACGCCAACACGGCACAACGCAGAGACGCCCGCGCGACCGTGGAAGTGACCGGTCAACTGCGCCTCACCACTCCCCGCATCCCACACCCGCACGGTGCAGTCGTCGGAGCCGCTCACAACTGCGTTGCCCTCCGCGTACAGGCAACGAACGTAGTTGGTATGCCCGTGCAGCACCCGAATAAGTCTCCCGTCTTCTGCACCCCATTGCGCAATTTTAAAGTCGCTACCTCCAGAGTACACGTAGCCACCGAACTCCGAAAGGCAGTACACACCGCCAGCGTGCTTATTCATCTGCCGCACTAGAGCAAAGGACCGGGCGTCATACACCTCAACACTGCCGCTCGAGAGGCCCATCCAAACCTGCGGTCCCTTGCTCTGTGTTGTCACAGCAATCAGCGACAAAGTGCTACTACCCTTTTTTTCTCCTGACGGCTCCACATTCCATTTTTTTACAAGTTCGGTTGTGCGCGCATTGTGTACTTCAACCCCATTCTCAAGTGCCATCCACACATGATGAGCACAGGTAACCATCACTCGAGCGGGCGACGCAGTGAGAAACCTCTTGTCTATTTCGCCCAATTCTTGTCTGCCCGACGGCCATCTGTCATGCTTTTCCTGTAACATTGTGTAACACTTCCTTCGCCACAGGGCTCCTTCCTGCCGGCACTCCGCTAGTTATTTAAACTGCTAACAAATAGGGAAAGGATTCAGTGATCCAAGCAAATAACACAGAGATAAAATATTTTAATCCGCAAAACTAGAGATGCTCTTGCACATGCTTCTATCATAATGAAGTTCGTGGAGCTTAAAGAAATCTATGCGGCGCTTCAAAACGTTTCAAACCACTTATGTAATGCGATATACATATATTAAATAAAAGCTTCTACTTCAAAGTCAAATGATGTTGGCTATTCCTCTGCTCAAGAAAAAGATGCCTTCGCACCACCAGACCTCGGCCCAGTTGGGGGCGCAGGCACACTCGTGGTTGGAGGCGCAGGCACACTCGCAGTTGGAGGCGCAGGCACACTCGCAGTTGGAGGCGCAGGCACACTCGCAGTTGGAGGCGCAGGCACACTCGCAGTTGGAGGCGCAGGCACACTCGCAGTTGGAGGCGCAGGCAAACTCGTAGTTGGAGGCGCAGGCACACTCGTAGTTGGAGGCGCAGGCAAACTCGTAGTTGGAGGCGCAGGCACACTCGCAGTTGGGGGCGCAGGCACACTCGTGGTTGGAGGCGCAGGCACACTCGTAGTTGGAGGCGCAGGCACACTCGCAGTTGGAGGCGCAGGCACACTCGCAGTTGGAGGCGCAGGCAAACTCGTAGTTGGAGGCGCAGGCACACTCGCAGTTGGAGGCGCAGGCACACTCGCAGTTGGAGGCGCAGGCACACTCGTGGTTGGAGGCGCAGGCACACTCGTAGTTGGAGGCGCAGGCACACTCGCAGTTGGAGGCGCAGGCACACTCGCAGTTGGAGGCGCAGGCACACTCGTGGTTGGAGGCGCAGGCACACTCGTAGTTGGAGGCGCAGGCACACTCGTGGTTGGGGGCGCGGGCACACTCGTAGTTGGGGGCGCAGGCACACTCGCAGTTGGAGGCGCAGGCACACTCGTGGTTGGAGGCGCAGGCACACTCGCAGTTGGAGGCGCAGGCACACTCGTGGTTGGAGGCGCGGGCACACTCGTGGTTGGGGGCGCGGGCACACTCGCAGTTGGGGGCGCGGGCACACTCGTGGTTGGAGGCGCAGGCACACTCGTGGTTGGAGGCGCAGGCACACTCGCAGTTGGAGGCGCAGGCACACTCGCAGTTGGAGGCGCAGGCACACTCGTGGTTGGGGGCGCGGGCACACTCGCAGTTGGAGGCGCGGGCACACTCGCAGTTGGAGGCGCGGGCACACTCGCAGTTGGAGGCGCAGGCACACTCGTGGTTGGGGGCGCGGGCACACTCGCAGTTGGAGGCGCAGGCACACTCGCAGTTGGAGGCGCAGGCACACTCGTGGTTGGAGGCGCTGTCATGGTCGCAGTTGATACGGTGGGTCCTGCGGACGTTCTTTCGGAAACAAAGGTTGCAACGTTTGTGCTCTCTGGCACATGATGTTTCGCACCACCGTCGCGGGCCCGCTGCACTGCCTCCAAAGTTTTCTGAAGAAGGCCTCGCATCACCTGCAGATTCTGCTCCTGTTTTTGTATCTCGGCCTCTACGTGTGAACGCTCGTTCTGCAGTTCTTGTGTCCGCTTCTCAAATTCCCGCATTTTCTCCTGCATCATCCAACAGTTTAGAAGCGCTGAGCTCCTCATTTCTTCGTTCATCGTCAGCACATGGCGCACGGCATTCTCCCCTCCCTGGGAAAGAAAAACCAGTTCCATCAATTCACGCTGCTGCTTCAACAACCGTTCATTCGTCTCGTGGTGCGACCGCACCGTGGCGTAGTACCAACGCC